GAACACAAAGACTTTGAGAAAAGCACACAATAAAATCATTTTGCTCAAAACAGCAAGGTATCCAACTGGTATCTACTTTCCAATGTCAGTAACTGAAATGCATTTTGATGAAATGTATCATGTCAACAACCTTGATTGTGGGGAATGTAAGGAATGGTTTCAAATCAAAAATCTCTCTCATACCAGTTAAGATTCCCTAAGTCTATTAAAATGGCAAATAAAACAGATGTTAAGGAAGGGAGAATTAAAAACAGATCAGAATTTAATAATTTGACTGTTTCAATTTTCTAATGAGTGAATGACTCTTGGTAGTCTAGATAGATTAATAACATCGTTTCTAATGAAGATAAAATATTACTTAAGTTCAAGTTCAGTCTGGTTTATCTTGCTGTTCTTTCCATTTGAAAATTAAGTGACCTTATAAGGTATATAAAATCTTAGGATATTTTGGTTTCCACAAAGGAAATACCACTAAACAAACAAAAATTTGCTGTTTATTGACACAGAATTAACTATAGCAAGATAGTTAATTCTGTGTAAATAAGTTCCCATATTTATAGATTAGTATGTGATTATTCTTAGGCAAAAATACTATAATTGGTTACCTGTATCTCTAATTCTATCTGGTTATCTTTTTAAACTACTTCATTACAGAAATGCTAAATTATGTTTTAAGAAGTTCATATTGGATTATACAACATTACTTTGGGATCACATGGTAGAAAAAGGTCATAAAAAATATGGCCAAACATCACCATGGTTATGAGAATGGCCAAGATTCTAAGTAATACAACAGCAACCTTTATGTCAAAAGGTAGGGGTGTCACAGTCAGCCATTCTCTATTTGGAATAAAAGAATTCTCCWTAAGTAGAGATAATTAGCTATTAAAAAAATGTTTGCCTCAAATTCTTCCCTTGTATATTAATTTATAAAAAAATGAGAAACATTATACGTTACGACTCAGAAGTGGAATTTCTTAAACATAGCCAATTAATTAAAAATCATGACTAATTTCAGAAAAAGGATGTCAAAATCGAGAATAGAGAAGCAAAAGAGAAAGTAAGATTGTAAAAGATTTTTCCAATTAAAAGTTTTCATAACATCCAAAAATCTATAATCACATGAATTCACTTCATAGGAAAAATTAACCAAGGAAACCATAATCTCTATTAAAAACAAAAACAACCTTGATTTTAAGCTGTCCAACAGGATTGACACATAGGTAAGTAAAAAATCAAGAATATCATCCTTGAAATACCCAATCTCAACATAACAGAGGAAATTAATATAGTGGAGTGGTATTCTTCTGTTCTAAAGAACATTCTTGCTTCTATTCTAAAATGTATACTATGCAATACTAAGTTTCATGACAATAACTGGAATGCTAATATAATAAGCAAGGCAAACCAATGATGTTGAATATTCATAATTTATACCTATTTTTATGTGGCCTATTCATCAAGGCTTATTATTACTGGAAACTGCAGAAGGGTTAGTTCTTTTTTACTTTTTTCCTTGGGGGCAGGATTTCTTCTTTTGGCTATACACAAGACATTGCTTATTCATCAGCCAGCACTGTATAATTTACTACATAGTAGTTAAATGAAAAATGGCAAAAGTCGGGGCAGGAAGAGAGACTGAAACAATGAAATACACTCTATGGGACATGAACTATCTTTAAGTCAACTTAATGGGGTCCTGGGCTGGGGGTAGAGCTCAATTGATAAGAGTGTTTGCCTCACATGCACAAGGTCCTGGGTTTGATCCCCAGCACCATAAAAAAAAAAAAAAAAAAAAAAAAAATTCCAAATGTGAATTCTACAACTTATACAGTTTCCTAACAATTGCTGAGTCAGTTAAGTCCTTTGTTTAAAGTCCACAAAATAAAATTCAACTCCAGTGTCAGTGATGTATTTGGTTCTAATTAATTACATTTTAGTTGTATAGAACAAGTGGGCACACAGCATTATGTATTAAAAATTAATCAATTGTTTCAAGGGTCATTACTATATCTCTAATAGCTATTAAACTCTCCTTTTGGGGAATTTCAAATCATCGCAGTATGCTTCTATCAAGTTACTGGGCAAATGATATCTGGACACAGGAAAAAAAAAGCAAAGGAACACATTAACAAGAACACGTTTAATAAGCCTAAGGATAATATATAACAAAGGGGAAAGACCAGATGCATAAAATTTTGGAGGACTTTAGAGATAATGCAACTCAGTGGTCTACAGTATGTGGGCGCCTAGAGTTTCTGCAAGGGCTCTGCAATTCCAGATGCACATTACATTTTCTCTACGGAATTAATTATATTCACAGTTAACCCCACAATTCCATACTCATGCCAGAATTTAAAATTATAAGTACTTTTGCTTGAAAAGACTGAGAATTATTAGTCTAGTCAGATTTTTCAATTATTTGGATGAGGAACCCAAGACTCAGAGGTAGAAAGAGACTTTCCAATATAACAGTTGATTAGCACAGCTATTATCCAAGTGCACTTAAACCTAAAATAGTGCCTTTTCTGCATTTCTTATATAATACACTATACCTTTAATCTGTACCTGGGTGGAAAAGTTAAAACTTTCCTTTTGTTTTTCAGTTGCTAGTAACTCCCTCTGGTGTTTTTCCTAAGTGTCCAAGTAAGATTTCTGGTAGTTAAGAATCTTTAGTGTTGGGGATCAAGAATCCTTTGATTCTTGAGTACTGGTTATGCCTCACTGAACCAAAAATTTAGTAGTTAAAAAGATGAAACTAAAGATTATAGATGAAAAAAAAAATTGAGCTAGTGTTTGTCACCCTTCAGTTCTCTTTCTTTGTGAAGAATCAGCTAACTAAAACCTACACGATTCCTTCCTTTCTCTAAACTTCTATTGTAATTATAGTTCCATCTGGGAAAGGCAAACATTTACATATTCTCCAATGATCTTATGTATAATGTGTCTCCCTAACTGGATAACAGTAAAGAATCAGATCTTAGATTTCAAAATATTTCCAACTTTGAGTAAGCATTCAACAGAAAACTGTTTCTTCATAGGGTCAAGGAAGTAGAATTTTATAGAAGATTTAAAAACACACATAGAAGGTTCAATAATCTAGCATGGATGTATCTTTTCTGAAAAATGGTTAAAGATTAATTGTATCTTTTCTGAAAAATGGTTAAAGAAAGAAAATTCTTTTTTACCCTTTACATTTATCCTTGGCAAATAATGTTAGATAGTTATTCTCCTTTCACATATTCATCAGTGCATCATTTTAAAAAAGCAATTATTAATAATTAGTCTCTCAAAATAAGTAAGAATTTATAGGCATAGTGCAAATTCCACAAGCTTTACCTCAACTACTCCCCCTAGCTTTAAGAAAACAAAATCAGCTGTTAATTTACAAAGCCAAACAAGGAGAGAGGATACTCTTTTGGGCGGATTTCCCTTATGTGGGAGAACACAGCACCAGGGTCAAAGGAATGGACTCTGAATTCCAATTTTGATTTGCCACTTACTCGCTGTGACATCCTTAACAAGTTCTATGAACTTTAATTTTCTTCCTTATTTGTTAAATGGGGAAATTATACATTTTGTACGGTTTGTAGGAGGATTAAAGGAGAAAAAGCACATGAAGCACACAGCACATGCTAGTTACTTTAGTTCCTTGTTCTTCCCTCATTTGGCACTATTCTTTCTCTTCTGTGGTTTCTTTCTAAATCATATTCAATAAAGTGTCCCTCTCACTTTTTCCTTGCTAGTTTTCATTCTATCTCCCTATCCTTTTGTCACTCTCAAAATCTATCTTTTCCACCATACCTTTTAAAAACTGTCTTTTATGTTGTTTCCAATATTTACAAGGGGGAGTGACTATTTTTATCTAATCTTACTGACTTCATTTAATCTATTCAATAAAACCTCTCCCTCAAAAAGCAAAGGAACTTGTAGAGGAAATAAGGCAAACTGGAGAAAGCATACTCCCTAAATAGATTAAGTTGAGCAAAGCAATACTCTGCACTTACTTTTCCCAAGTATAATCCATAACCTCTCCTCATGGGCCTCTCTATCCACCTCAAGATAATTACACTCCTGCTTCAAAATGAAACAAAATCCCCTACATTCTGTACTCTAAGCATCTGATTGTATCCAGGATGGATGAATGCACCATGCCCTGTCTCTTACTTAAATCTCATAGTGACCCAAGTTGAAAAAGTCACTTTGGTTTTTAATATCTGGTTTGCCAGTGCTGAGCATATTTAAAAAAACTACATCCTCTCATTTATGAGCATGCTGCCTCAGGACTTCAAGATATGTTTTATGAAGAGAGAAGCTAGTAGGAAAGAGGATGAAACAGTCCTATAAGTTAAAATTCTTAACTTAGAATTTCGACCAATTTGGGTTTTAGCTATGACTTTGCTGGGAGTGAAGATAGCTGCTATCAAAGCACAAAGCTGAGCATATCCTCACTTCTTACCCTGTGCCTCCATGAATTTTTAATTTCTGACCTTGACTAACTATCAACAAGTTTTTTACCCTCTAATGTACCTTCTAGTATATAGCTCTGTTCCTCAGATAGCAAATCTGTTATACAAGTTCAGAGATATAACTGAGGAATTAACATAAAAACCATGTTTCCTCAATAAACCAGAAGCTGCTAGTTAAGCCTCAAGAGCCTATGAAAAACACCAAAGTGGTATTATTCAGTCACCGATCTAAAGAGAGAACTTTGACTCAAGGTATAAATGAAATTTCAATTATATAAATATATTTATAAATATTTATACAATTATATACGTGTACATAAGCACTTACACAGACTTAGAAAAAAATGTTAAGAACATTAATTCAAAAGGACTCACTGAAGAATAACAGAATTTTCCATGATTTCCTTGAAGAGATACATAACTCATTCTTTAGGAAGGGTCCCTCAAAATCCAACCATTAAAAACCATAGTCTATAATTGTACACTAGCAACACACAGCTTTTTTTTTTCTTTTTCTTTTTTTTAAATCCCTTAGTTGCCAAGAGAGTGATCTTAAAGTAAATGGGAACCTAAAAGGTCTCTGAGCAATAGCAATTTACCATTTGTTCCTCAAGTAGAAGAATCAATTCAAACCCCAAAKGACAAAACAGGTCATTCTATATAAATGGTTTTATAACCAGTTCTGATTTTGCCACCAGAYTACTACTATCCTGTCAGAAGACTTTACATAAAGCTCAAAGGAAGAATTGAGCATATAGTGAAGCTGATAAGTAAACAGTATTATATAGATTCAAGATGGCTTTTTCTAAATAATACTGAAAGAAGTTTTCACTAACTACAATTTGAATGTGGCTTTTGTTGTCAGAAAAACACCACAACATCTGAAGATCACTGGCAACCCTCAGCATCCCTTACTAAAATGTTGTCTTTTAAAGAATTTAGCTTAAAGGTCTTCCTTTTGGAGACTTTCAGTTTTGATATCTTTTGAAAGAAAACTATGAGGAATTAAAGGCTGGTCAGTCACCAGAGCCTTTTTTACTCCAACCAGGGGTAAAAAAAAAAAAAAAAAAAGAATCATTATTTATAACCAAAGGAACATGGTTAGCAACTCTCAGCTGCGTAGTTTTCTTTTACCCTGGGACATACCTAAGTATGCCTTAAGCACATAGGACAATTCATAACCACAGGGGTTACAATTACAAGCCATTGTACTGCATGATTATTGAATAGCTGCCTTCCTACAGATTGCTGTGGACCCAGACAATGGATGAGCCAAAGGAACTAATATGCTGTACTAGCAAAAACGGCAAGCACCTTCCTATCCCGGTCACTACAATATGCTCACTAAATGTCCATTCTAGGACTAGCAGGATCAATATAACACAGTAGTAATGAAGAAAGCTGTCTCAGGCTAGGCCACTGAAAGCAACCCCATGCTACATATCCTAAACTGAACACTCATTTTTCTACTAACACGTATCATGGAAATAGCTCTTATAAATGGGAAAAATGTGAATTCTTTGGGGGAAAAAATTCAAATATGATCAGCAATAATTATGGTGCTTTTTCCATGTAAACAAAAGCTTGGATGTTTTGTTTCGTGCTATTTCCTACATGAAGAAGAAGAACAACAACAACAAAAATTGGTTGAGAAGTTCTTCTTACTGCAAATGGGGGCTTACAAAAAAAGAGAGGTTGTTCTTATTCTGCATCCAGCCATTCTTTGTCAAAGAAGTCTCAGAAGTAGTATCATTTGATCCCGAAAAAGTGCTGTGCAGGAGATCACTTACTGACACACACATTTCCTGCTGCCAGTACTAGGAGAGATTTATCCATACACTTCCATTTGGTCACCAGATTAGGTAAGAAAGAAAGGACATGGGAAAAATAAGAGAATGGGGGAGGAAAAAAGTGGGGAGGGAGAAAGAGACTGATTACAGGTGAGAACAAGAAATAAAAGAGAAGGCAGGTGACTTGTTTGCCAACTTTGACTCTATGGTCCTATGAGCCAAAATGCATACTTAGTGACATGGTATCTCACAGGAAAAGGGAAAAAAGGGGTAAGCTGAGAGAGGTCAGGCCATGGTGTTAATTTCTTTCCTGTACAAAGACAGTCTCTTGAGGACAAAGCCCTGCCTCTTGTAATGTAATATCATAGTCCAAATGAGAAAGTTTTCTTCGAGGGAAGTTGGTGAGAAGTTCAAAACGTTCATTTGGATATCCTTTAGACTGGACGTGCTTCACCAAAGCCTAAGAGAAACAGAGAAAAACAAACCTATGAGATGAAAATAAAAGGGAAAATGGCAAATGCCTGTAATCCTAGTGTCTCAGGAGATTGAGGCAGGAGATCACAAGTTCAAGGCTGGCCTCAGCAACTTAGTGAGACTCAAACTACAAAAGGACTGGGTAGATCATCCCTGAAAGTTCCAATTTTCAGGACCAAAAAACCCAAAAGAGAACAGCATTAATGAATTAAATATAAAACACTGCCTCCCCCTTTGCAGTACTAAATATTGAACCCAGGGACTTACTTCAATTTATTAATTTCTCTAATTCAACCAAATAGCTATACTTACTAGCAGTTTAGCTTGCTCTGGGAGAGTGATCTGTTCCCTTTTTCCATCTGGGTACCGCAACATCAGCTGTGCTTTTGGTCCTTAAGGGAATAGTTTAAAAAAAAAAAAAATGAATTTAAGATAGGAGATTAATTTAAATAAACAAGTGCCCATAGTAATATATAATATCCAAGCTTTAAGTAACTCAGTACTCTAACCCACCATTAACATCTATTCCCTCCACTACTCCATCAGATTTTTCAGGTGACATCTCCAAAATCTCTGGATCCACAGCTGGCAATCCCTGGTGATTTGTGGTTGTTCCAGGCTCAGTTCTAGCAGGGGGCTCAGTCAGTAGTCTTCTATTCTCTTCTTTTCTATGCCCCAAATCCTTGTGGGGAGACTTTCTGGATTTGGCAAGATTCTCTATCTCCTCTTCTTCATCAGAGCCACAAATGGATATGAACTCCTCACTGCCAGAAAAAAGTTCAGATTCAGATTCTTCATCTGAACGGCTATCCTGTTTTGTCTGTGTTGAATCGAAATGTGTTTCTTGCAAGGAGGCTCTGATGGCAGCTTCTAGCTGGCTGTCTTCACTTGCATCTATAAGGCTCTCCTGTGAGATGTAGTCATAAAACACAAGTGGAAAGAAAAATAGTTAAACCAAAAAAATTATCATGTCAAACAGAGTATTAAGAAAGATAACAGTCAACCTGACATCATTATTTTCTAATGACTGTATCTCTTCCACTATAATTTAAGCTATTTGAGGACAAGAACTTTGTCTTACAAAGTCAAACTGGAATGTACATTTAGAAAAGTAAAACCTATCATAGCACTTAGCACACTGATTTTTCAAACAGATTATTTTTGCCATCAAAATAAACAAAACCAAGAAAACTCTTTTTTTTTTAAATTTTTTTACTATTTATTTTTTAGTTCTCGGCGGACACAACATCTTTGTTGGTATGTGGTGCTGAGGATCGAACCCGGGCCGCACGCATGCCAGGCGAGCACGTTACCGCTTGAGCCATATCCCCAGCCCCCAAGAAAACTCTTTATAGTGACAAGAACTAAAGTTTTAAATATAAAACCCAAACACCATTTTTTGCCCTCCCACCCACTTGGTAGTGGGAGATTGAACACATGGGCATTCTACAGCTGAGCTATACCCCTAGTCCTTTTTATGTTTTGAGACATGACCTTGATAAGTTGCTCACCTTGCCTTATTAATATTAACCTCCAGTTGCTGGGATTACAGGCATGTACCACCATGCATGCCAAAACACCATTCTTTAAAAATGACTAAATAATAGAAAAAGATGTATTTCTTGCTCACCATTATATTCTTCAATTAGCACTAACTTTTAACATTCAACACAAAATGTCATACAAAACTAGGGGAACATAACAAAATTCTCCCAAGGTTAATTATAATAAAAGTTTTCATTATGATAAGAAAAATGCAAATTTTGAGTTTTCCCCTTGGTAAAGTTCTTGGGTCAGATTTCACTGAATAATAAGGGCTGGAGTTGTGGCTCAGTGGTAGAGCATTCGTCAAGCATGTGTGAGGCACTGGGTTTGATTCTCAGCATCACATATAAATAAATGAATAAAATAAAAGTCCATCGACTAAAAATATTAAAAAAAGAAAGAAAGAAAGAAAGAAAGAAAAGACTTCACTGAACAAAGTGTGTTATAAAGTACAGATTGCTAGAGTAAAACTTATTAAGATATGCACTCAAACACACGACAGAGGAAAAAAATTTGTAAGATCAAGTTCAACACTGGCTATCTCATCATTGAAAAATTACTGTTGTGTCTGCCAAAAACTAAAAAAAAATAAATATTAAAAATTCTCTCTCTCTCTTCTCTTCT